TATGGTTAAAATATTTTTCTCTTTTTTATTTCTACGGGGATCAAGTTTAAAGTTGGTTGAGTGTGAGGTACCATGAGAGTTAATAATGTATAATTAGGCATGTTTATAATGTATTTTAGGCAGGTACAATATAATCCACACATGTCTTTCCACCCCCCCCCAACCTCTAGTAGGTCTGACTGTTCTGGACTGGACTCAGGATCAAGTTTAAAGTTGGTCGAGTGTGAGGTAGAGTGAGAGTTAATAATGTATAATTACGCATGTTTATAATGTATTTTATGCATGTACAATATAATCCACACATGTCTTTCCACCCCCCCCCCCACCTCTAGTAGGTCTGACTGTTCTGGACTGGACTCAGGATCAAGTTTAAAGTTGGTTGAGTGTGAGGTAGAGTGAGAGTTAATAATGTATAATTACGCATGTTTATAATGTATTTTATGCATGTACAATATAATCCACACATGTCCTTCCACCCCCCCCACCTCTAGTAGGTCTGACTGTTCTGGACTGGACTCAGGATCAAGTTTAAAGTTGGTCGAGTGTGAGGTAGAGTGAGAGTTAATAATGTATAATTACGCATGCTTATAATGTATTTTATGCATGTACAATATAATCCACACATGTCCTTCCACCCCCCCACCTCTAGTAGGTCTGACTGTTCTGGACTGGACTCAGGATCAAGTTTAAAGTTGGTTGAGTGTGAGGTAGAGTGAGAGTTAATAATGTATAGTTACGCATGCTTATAATGTATTTTATGCATGTACAATATAATCCACATATTCTGCTCTCTCCCTCCACCACCCCCCCTCTAGTAGGTCTGACTGTTCTGGACTGGCCCCTGGTAAGGATTGATTGCATGTTCTCCGTTGTTACATGTAATGGGATGAATAGTGATAAAATGAGCCGGTGGTTTAAAATTTTGAATTAAATTAAAATTAATTACCAAATCAATTATTAATGAGTAGGTAGGGCTAATAAAATTATAACCACACCCCAGCCAGTAAAGCTATAGCCACACCCTCTATAAACCTAATAGCCACGCCTCCTGCTAATAAAAAAGGGCCTGCAGTGTGTAGGTGTGTACTGTAGGTGCTGTTGTTGTACAGTGTTGCTCTCTTACTGTTTCTATCCATAATACACCAGCTGCTCTTTCAGTAGTTCCTGTTTCTTCTCTGGACAGTAAATACTGATTCTCAGGTCTCATTTCTCTGAGCCCCGCCCATTCAAGATGGCTTCCTCAGATGAAGTAGAAGCCAAAAGGTGTCCCAAAGGTCACGAAATCCCTTCAGTTCCTAGAATCCTCCAAACATTCTCATTGGTTGAATCTGATGTACTGTGTGTTTACGTTGTGGGTAGTCACCTCTGGGGTACCTGCAGTAAGCACAGTGACTGGGACCTGGTTATAATCACCTCCAGTGCTAAGAGAACAGGACCAGCAGCTGTCAATGTACATAAACACAAACTGGACGCATGGATTCTCTCAATGGACGAGTACACTGGTTTCATAAAGGACCATCTGATGCAGGCTCTCATTACAGTATGGCTACCTCAGTGTTTCGTTATGAAACAAACGATTAATCCTAAAATATTATTTGAATATTCTCGGGAGAAACTTGCAGCAGCTGTGGATAAAATGCACAGAAGGGATATGGAAGTAGCAAGAAAACATTTTATTAAAAGTGATTGCAGAGGAGGTTTAAAGATAGTTAGGCACTGTTTGAGACAAATGGAGCTAGCATTGGGAATATACCAGTCACACTGCATCAGTGAGTACTGTTCAATGAGCGATGAAGAAAGGGAACTGAGAGATAAAGGAT